GTGTGTGAATGTGTATGAATGAGTTAGTTTCTGTTTGATGGGCTTTGCCATCACTGAGTGAATGTGTGTGAAAGGGCGAATGTGCCATGTAGTGTAAAAGCACTTTGAGTGGTTGGAAGACTAGAAAGGCGCTATACAAGTACAGGTCCATTTACCATTTATTTATTATATTGTGAATGAAATCTTATTTGGAAGAAAGTCGAGGTGTGATGTGACTGACTTACAGTGGATCCCCCATTTCCCCACTTGTCCATTACATTAGGGAGACCCAGAGGTGAACTGGTCAACTATTTGTGTGAACAATATTGTTAACTGAGTGAAGATCTAAACTTACTGTACACAGGAACCTCTTCTATCTGAGAGATATATGAGACACATACACATATAAAATAAGTTATCCTACAGATGTTTGCATTTATTATTGTTGATATACAACTATGTGACTATGAAAGTGGATAGAAAAGCTCAAGAACATTCTCAAATGGTGTGTGCATGGGTGTGTGTGCATGCATGCATGATATTGTGGGTGGGTGTATATTCAGCAGCTGTTCGTGTTGTGTGGTATTTATTGCAACTTGTTGTACCATATCCACATTCTGAGAAGATTCCTCTGTGTCATTTTCCTTAAAAGTAAAAAGATGTTTCACCTTTGTAGACCTGATACAACTGGATATGGCCACTTCTGAATATGACTTTTTAAGCCTTCATTTTTTAAGGGAACATCTTTTTTCTTTGAATATGATGCTCTGCGGTGTTATTTACTAAAGCACATACGATTGTGATTCTTCAGATTTGTTTTTCTGAGACAGACAGCTCCTATTGATTTGAAATGGGCTTTTATTGCTTTACTGTGCTGTAGTGCTTGACTCTTCAATTTCCTGACGGATGAGAACCTCAAAACAGAGTTTACTGTTATGTAATCCTGTCTACTTTTCAGGTAACAATGCCACATCCATAGTCAACTGTCTGCAGATACTGGGACAAAGCCTAGATGCCAGGTAAGATAAGAACTGTGACGTGTGTGTGTGTGTGTCCGTCTTTGTCCATGCCAGTGAAAACCTAACATGCATATTGTATCATGGTGTTAAAGATGGGTACTTACTCTGCTCTTTCAGAGACGAACCACTGTAGGCAAACAAATCACACATTACCTCGGCCACTTCTCACTTGTCGCAGTGGACATATCAGTGCTTGCAAGTTAGTGGAACCTGCACTTTCTCCCACAATTAGCGTGGCATTGTGCCGTGCCTCGCTAGCCGCCAGTTTTGCTTCTTGCTAGTATTCCCCGCTCGGTATCCTTCAAGCTCCCATTCTAGGTAAAGTGAGCCAGTCAGCTAATAGAACTGCTAAATAGCTAGTGGCAGCAGCTAGTACAGGTAGCATATGCAGCAGTGCACCAGTAAGTAACTTCCTGTGTTACAATAGAAAAGGTCTGTGTTGCAACAATGATCGTCCCAGTGACAAGGCGAAGCTCCAGAATGGACTCTCTGACTGATGAAAGTTCAATCGACTATTAAGGGGCAGCTTTAGTCCTTTGTCATATAATAGACAGTGATAAGAAACATAAACACTACAGGTCCACTGTGAGTTGATGTGTGAGCTTCAAACTGTGATTCACTGTGTCCTCTGACACCTTTCTATCAGAACCAGCATTAACCTTTTCAGCATTTTGAGCTACTGTAGCTAGTCTGTTGGATTGGACCACACAGGCCAGCTTTCGCTCGCCACCTGCATCAGTGAGCCTTGGCAGCCTATGACCCTGTATCTGGTTCATCACTTTTCCTTCCTTCCTTCCTTCCTTCCTCATGACACACAAGCCTCATGCTTAGGCCATTAGAAACAACTGAACCAACTCCATTCGGTGATGAAGGCCATGAGATGCAGCTGCTTAAATACCCTGCCATATAATACAAAGGGTGTGTTCGGATGTATGTTGCTTCACTTAATTTCAGTCGGACAACTTGTGGAAAGGATGTTAATGTAGAATCTAAAGATGAATAGTGAAAGTAGAATAGTGGTTCCCTCCAATATTTTTGGATCTCAAGTCCTATCAGAACAGCATCAAAAGATTTTGACTCTTATCCAAACTGAAGACATACAATTTGACCAGTCTTATGATAACACTGTATATTTTGGTCCTGTAACTTCTGACATATCAATATAATTTCCAATTGAAAAAACCAAGTGAGCAATGTTTACATTTTTGGATGATGAGAAAGTTGTTAGCTGTATTTTGGGCTCAAATTCATTGAGAGGACTCGAAATGGCTTTTTATGTAAAAATGTCTTGCTCAGGGATTGAAGATATAAAACCAAGAAATTTTAACAGAATAACCCAACGTTTGGGAATTCAGAATGGCTGGGAAACCATAAGCCACAGTGAACGTTGGATGTTGAGCTACTGTGTGGCTTGAACTTTGGGCTCTGTCTTTGCTTATCCTGACATTTTACCTGGGATGTAATGTAGTTTGGCTGTTCCTCTGTGTTTGTTCTTCTGTTTCAAGAGTATGTCATTTGTTGCTCCGGTTCTGGTATGATACTGGCAACATTTTTTCATCAGCATTTCCACCTCTAAGCTCATGTGCTGCCGGTGCAAACACCAACACTCTCTTGGTGCTTTGAGCACCCAATCCTGGGCATCCAGAGTACGGCCAAGCTAACTAACTAACAGCGGCTACATTTACATCAGGAAACTCTGTAAATCACAGAGAGTTGGACAGAGGGAAAACCAGAAAACATTTTCTCCAAAACATATGATCCAGTTTCACCAAAATCACTGACATAGTAGTGGTGTGTGACTACTGCCATCAAGCATTATGCATTTATTCTGCCCCGGAGCCAAAAGAACAGGCGTACAGGGCCAAGTGGGAATGACAGAGACACCATTCACCCTAATACAACTCAGTGTAGCATTAAACATATTTTGTAGCAGTTATTTTAAGGTAGAACACTTACATAATGTTGCTTTAAAATATCGTTGGTCTCTCTTGTAAAGATAATATTGTAAAATCTTACTCTCTGCACATATCAGGACAGTGATGAAGACTGGTCTAGAGTCAGTAAAGGCAGCACTGCGTTCGTACTTCGACAGTGCAGCAGAAGATCTGGAGAAGACGCAAGAGAACCTGAAGCTTGGTCAGTTCACCCACAGCAGAGAGCAGCCGCGGGGTGTCACTCAGATCATCAACTACACTACATTTGCCCTGCTGCCGGTCCTCTCCTCCCTGTTTGAACACATTGGACAGAACCTGTTTGGAGAAGACCTCATATGTGTGTACTGACTTCTGTTGTTCATATTGTGTTTGGCTGAGGCATCAAATGTGCAAATTTAACAGAATATTACTGTCTTCTTGAAGGATAATCTCAGATTTCCAACATGAAATAGATTCCTGTTTCATTCTGATGCAAAACTTTAGAGTTGGTTATTCATGGAAAAAATAATAAAATAATAAAAAGGACAGAACCCCCTAGAAATGTAAACTGCAAAATTTATGTTTTGTTTGCATCTCTTCTTCCAGTGGATGATGTCCAGGTTTCCTGTTACAGAATCCTCAACAGCCTCTACTTTCTGGGAACCAACAAAAGCATCTATGTAGAGAGGTACAGTACACCTGACAGTACACGTCTTTAAGGTACAGAAAACCTAGTATAGAACTGTGTTTATTCCACATCTTCACGTTGGTTTACATGTATGCAGATCATTTAAATTAACAGAGAACATCGAATGCAACTCAAAATCAGCAGTTTCTTTTCACTGAGAAGTCACTCAGAAGCCACTTTCTTGGCTCTGATTATTTGTTCATTTGGAATGCTAGCCAGAGGAACCTGATTTTTTTCACATATTATCTGTCAAGTGTTTTACTGTTAGGATTTAGTAAATATGAAGTTATCTTAAGTTTTTTTTATTGTTTTTTTAATTACTTACTGCACCTTTAATTAGTAAAACACGCTATGATTGCTGAGCTTCGAAAATCTCAAAGACAGGCTGGTCTAACTGATGTACCTGTAGTCTGTTTTGTATGCAGCAACACTGTAAATCAGCCAAATTTACATGGTGGCATGTGTTCCCTATTGGCAAGATAATAAAATTGAAGTACGGTAAGTAAGAAACAACAGTGTAAGTGAGTGCAATTAACAACAATTTATGGTATTCCTTATGCAAGATCACCAACTCTATTAACACCTGTTTGTTTTCTGTATTTTTTGAGACAAGAAAAAGGAAATAATAATCTGAATTTAAAACAGTATTTTAAAATATATTATTACCAAACATTTTTTCCAAAACAAACCATTTTTAAAAGTCCAATGTGTAAGATTTAGGAGGATCTATAGTCAGAAATGGAATAAAATATCCATAGTTTTTCACGTTTTCATTACTGTATATCACCTGAATATAGAAATTGTTGTGGTTTCATTACCTTAAAATGAGCCGTCATGTTTCTACATTAGCCAAGCAGGGACAAATCAACACACGAGTTTCACTGCCATCGTATTTCTCCTACACAGCCCTTTCTTATTCCCACCATTCCCGTCAAATACAGATGCAAGCAGTGTTTAGTTAGTTGCAAGCTGCAACTGCAATGCTTTAAAAGACCAGTGATGGCAACTCTCTCGCCTCACCCTCCCCTTCCAAACACTACGATAGCCATGAAACGTGTGAAAAACACCAACAGCTATATTGAGAGCCAGTGTTTGGTTTTTCCCTTCTGGGATACTGTAGAAACATGGTGGTTTAACATGGCGGACTCTGTACAAGAGAGACCCGCTTCTATATAGGAAAAAATAGCTCATTCTAAAGTAACGAAAACACAAGGCCCAGCAAAATCTGAAGAGGTAACAGGAGGCCTGCAGCAGAAAGCTGCTGACACTTACCTCAGAGCCAATGGTTGGCTCCTCACCTGAAACACCTTTTCTTTTTCACTTGATGCTTTACTTTTGCATAATTTTATTATGTTTATTTTATTATGTTTGTTTTATTATGTTTCTGCAAACTAACACCTTCTATTGAAGTGAAGATTTGTAATGAAAGTTGTACACTAATCAGAAGGTTGGCGGTTGCTCCCAGCGCTATGAGTTGTATGAATGATTAGTTTCCGTTCTAGTGAGCAGTTGGCACCTTGCATGGCAGCCACTGCCATCAGTGTATGAATGTGTGTGAATGGGCAGAGTGTGGCATGTAGTGTACAGCGCGTTGAGTGGTCGAAAGACTAGAAAGGCGCTACATAAGTTCATACAGTTAATTTATGATTCTTATTTTTAGGTGATTAGACACTAATAAAAACATACCTATGAACATTATCCTCCATTTCTATCATCCTTAGATCCATAGATCATCCTAAATGTTACACACTAGAAGTATTACTGTTTTTTACCATGTTTAGACAAAATAAGCAAAGTTGTATGTACAGTGGGGAGAACAAGTATTTGATACGCTGCTGATTTTGCAGGTTTTCCCACTTACAAAGCATGTAGAGATTCTAAAACAAAAATCCAGAAAATCACATTTGTATGATTTTTAAATAATTTATTTCCATTTTATTGCAGACATAAGTAATGGTAAATGGGAAATGGACTGTACTTGTAATAGCGCCTTTTCCTTAGTCTTCAAAGTGCTTTTACACTACGTGCCACATTCAGGAGGAGCCGGAGATCGAACCAACAACCTTCCGATTGGGGGACGACCCGCTCTGCCAAGTATTTGATCACCTACCAGCCAGTAAGAATTCCGGCTCTCACAGACCTGTTAGTTTTTCTATAAGAAGCCTTCCTGTTCTCCACTCATTACCTGTATTAACTGCACCTGTTTGAACTCGTTACCTGTATAAAAGACACCTGTTCCACACACTTCAATCAAAACAGACTCCAACCTTCTTCCACATTGGCCAAGACCAGAAAGCTGTTGTAAGGACATCAGGGACAAAAATTGTCTATCTGCACAAGGTGGGATGGCACAGGACAATAGCAAGCAGCTTGGTGAGGAAGGCAACAACTGGTTGGCGCGCAATTATTAGAAAATGAAGAAGTCAACGATGACGGTTTCAATCTCCCTCGGTCTTGGGGCCCATGCAAGATCTGCACCTCGTGGGGCAATCAATGATCATTGAGGAAGGTGAGGGATTCAGCCCAGAACTACACGGCAGACCTGGGTTCAAATGGACCTGGAAGAGAGCTGGGACCACAGTCTCAAGAAAAACCATAGTAAACACACTACCGCCTTCATTGGATTAAAATCCTGCAGCGCACGCAAGGTCCCCTCTCAAGCCAGCGCATGTCCAGGCCCGTCTGAAGTTTGCCAGGTGGGACCATCTGGATGATCCAGAGTAGGAATGGGGAGAAGGTATGTGGTCTATGATTTTACAAAAATAGAAGGTTTTTGTCGTCTAAACTCCACTCGCCGTGTTTGGAGAAGAAGAAGGATGAGTACAACCCCAAAGAACACCATCCCAACCGTGAAGCATGGGAGGTGGAAACTCATTCTTTGGGGTGGCTTTTCTGCAAAGGGGACAGGGACGACTGCCACCGTATTGAGGGGGAGATGGATGGGGCCATGTATCGCGAGATCTTTGCCAACAAACCTCCTTCCCTCAGTAAGAGCATTGAAGATGGGTCGTGGCTGGGTTTTCCAGCATGACAACGACCCCGAAACACACAGCCGGGCAAACTAAGGAGTGGCTCCGTATGAAGCATCTCAAGGTCGTGGGAGTGGCAGCAGTCTCCAGACCTGGAACCCAATAGCAAATCTTTTTGGAGGGAGCTGAAAGTCCGTATTGCCCAGCGACAGCACCCGGAAACCTTGAAGGGATCTGGTGAGACTCTGTATGGAGGAGTGGGCCAAAATCCCTGTGCAGTGGTGCAAACCTGGTCAAGAACGTACAGGAAACGTCCTATCTCTGTTAATTGCAAACAAAGGTTTCTGTACCATAATATTAAGTTCTGTTTCTGATGTTCAAACTTAATTGTCATGCAAAAGAATGAAATTAATTACCTTTAAAAACATACCTATTGATAAAAATTACAACTCTACATGCTATTGTAAGTTCTGAAAATTGCAAAATTCTATCAAATACTTGTTCTCCCCACTGAATGTAGTATGTTGTATGTACTGTATGTATGGCTTTTATCAAGTTATTTGAAAATATGAAATGGATGATTGATAATAAAAATAATGATTATTTGTCTCTCCTCTCATCTCCTCTCCTCTCCTCTCCTCTCCAGACAGCGTCCAGCATTAGGAAAGTGTTTAGCTGCCTTCTCAGCAGCCTTCCCTGTTGCTTTCCTAGAGTGTCACATCAACAAGTTCAACAGCTTCTCCATCTACAACAGCAAAGGAGCTAAAAAGAGAGCGGGTACGATCAAATGTGGTTTCCATTTCACTGTTTAGCTGAGAAGTTAGTTTGTAATTGTATCCTCTGAGAATGACTATATGCAACTCAGCAATGTACGTTACTGATTTAAATTACAGAGTCATACACTAGAGGTTACAGGACTACCTGTTTTTGTCCATGTACACTCTCTTTTCTCATCACTTTGCTGAATTGAATAGCTTGTAAACAACTCTGGGATTAGCGAGAAAGTCGCTAAAAGGAGGACAGTGGTTTGAGTGAGATTTGGATGCCATGGGCTTTATCATGCCCATAGTTGGACTCAGTTTCTTAGATCCCAGATTTAAAGATATAGCCTGACTACAGAAAGAAAAAAGTAAAAGAAATAGGGGAGGAAAAAAAAAAAAAAATATATATATATATATATATATATTCTTCTTTCTATCAGGTTCTGTCAGAACCAGCATGAACTTTTTCAGCAATTTGAGTTACAGTAGCTCATCTGTTTGATCGGACAACACTGGCCAACCTTCACTCCCCACATGCATCATTTGGTTACAAGCTGTACAAAGGCCTGTGATAAATAAAAACATAGGACAACCAAAATAGACATCTAGCAGTTATAAAGGTACAACAAAATCATTACAGCGTCCAGAAGTGCTATAAGCAAAAAAGCTGTCCCATGCCCTCTTAAAATAATCATTATTGACTCTAGCTAACAATTTTTCATATGATATTATTTCTAACATAGATTCCATCCATTTTATCCAGGATTTACTTTTCCAAATTCTGAGGATCAATCGGGCAGCCGTGACTACCCTGACCTTTATCAATGTAAAGACGTATTTTGATATATTGGCCATTTCTGTTTGGTCCCCCAGTAAACATAGTCTCGGTGACACAGGTATCATTGAACCATACCAGTTCCCTATGCATTCTAGTAATTTTTTTCAGAATGGGTAGATAAGTTTACACTCCCAAATTGCATGAAAAGAATTTCCTGATTGAGTTTGATATTTCCGACATAGATTATTGATCAGTAAGCCCATCCTATGGAGTTTAGAGGGAGTAAAATAAAACCTATGTATTAACTTGAACTAAATGAATTTCCCTGTAACCTCCCTTACATATTTCCTGGTATTTGATAATATTTTTAGCCATTTGTCATCACTGAAATTGCATCCTAGATCCTTTTGCCAAATGATCCTCAGATGTTTACAGATACCTTCTTTATTCTGCATTTTGTTTGATTATTTACATAATTTCATGCACTGCAGTGCCCCCTTTTGGTTATTTTAGCAGCAACAGTTGCAGAGCAGGGTCTCTTAGTTTAACTAGCCAAGACAGAGAACACATCCTCCTGCTGCAGTTATCTTTCACATTGTTGCCTTGGACACTATTTGTTCGTGAGTATTGTTGATTTATAAGTTTGCAATGCTATATCTATCATATATTTGCTCTGTATACATTTTATTTCTAATTCAGTCAAGAGATTGCTTAATTGATTGCTAGCATAGCTGTAGTAGTATAAGTTAGCCTACTGTAATGCAGCATTTGTTACGTTATGTACACTGCGCTGTGTAATAATGCTGCTAAAATATTGATTTATGTTTGTATTTTTGCAGTTTTACAGATAAAGAATAATTGTTACTCCTTATTAAACCTACAAGAAAAGTTACGCCTTGTGTTAATTAGAGGACTACAATGGTCTGTTAACTAACTGTCTAGCAGTGGATTAGGACTACTCCTTGCGAGGGCAGTATATTTTTGTAACCTGTTAAAGGTTTTTTAGAACAAAGCTGCCTTGTGCCAATTTATCTTATAACCTGATAATCTGGAATATGACTCGATACATTCAAGTAACACCGGCAGGGAGTACATAGGATCAGCTACCTCTGCTAAGATATCGTCTGCATACATAAATAGCTTATGCTCTCTACCCCCTGCCTGCACACCTTTAATCCTCACATCAGCTCTGATTGCTACAGCTAGTGGTTCAAGAACCATAGTGAAGAGCAATAAAGGGGGAGCACAATCCTGTCTAGTCCCTCTAGGGAGGCGGAAAAATTTGATATCAGCCCATTTTTGAGAACAGCTGCTCTCGGGTTGGAATAGAGTACCTTCACACAATTACGAAAGCCAGGACAACATCCAAATTTTGAAAGAGATAACATAAGGAACCCTCACTCAACCCGTTCAAAAGCCTTCTCTGCATCAAGTGAAAGGGCTGTCACCGATACCGGACTAGAGCCAATAGTGCATTCAAGCACATTACATTGTCTTTGTTTCATTAACAAGCTTCAGAACAGAGTAAAACAGCTGAGTGATTTCCCCCAATTAAAAATATACTGAATAGATTTTACAAATCTCAGTGGGAATGATAACTATCTGGGTGAGCTTCTGTCATGGGTCTGGGCTTCTGTCATGGGTCTAGTTGACCCAGTCAGCAGTTGTTGAAATAACATGAATGAAAAGTAACTTCTAGCAGGCTAGGCTAACTAGCATCCACATTTTTAATTGAATATAAAGTTAACAGCATTGAAGTATACATAAATGTATTCTAATAATGAACTCGTTTATATTTATCTTTTGTGTTTAAGTGCATTTCTCTTTCCACCTCTCAGCTCTAGGTCTTCCAGGGCAGGTTGGGGACGTTTGTCCTTTGATCCCGAACTTAGAGAAGTCTTTGGAGGAGATAATGGAATTGGCAGAGTCTGGCATGAGATACACTCAGATGCCCCATGTCATGGAGGTGGGATATGTAACTACTTAACTGAAAATTGCATATTAGCCTTACTTCTGTTGTGTCCATATCCACACGTTTCTTTTCCTCAAGGTGCTCTGTTTTTTTGTCATCCCAAAATAATGAATGTTAGGTATTAGAGGTACTCTTTCCGTTATCCCTTAACCAAAGCTTCTGAACTGGAGATGGCCAGCACTGCACTGTTAGCTGCTACTAAATAGTTAAATAATTAAATTGCAGGAGATTAATTTCCCTATGGGGACTAATAAAACTCAACTGAAACCTATTATTCCCCATCAACTCAAAGCAACAATTTAGTTTTAATAATATACAATATTACAGGTACAATATACCTAAAGCTATATGTTTATAGTCTTATGGAGTGGCATTGTGCTACATACACTATAGACATTGCTGATTGGAAATTTGTAATGTTAATGTAATGTTTTTTTCTGTAGGTAGTGTTACCGATGTTGTGCAGCTACATGTCTCACTGGTGGGAACATGGACCAGGAAGCAACCCAGACAAAGCTGACAGCTGCTGCACCTCTGTGACCTCTGAACACATGAACACTCTGCTCGGTAACATTCTCAAGATCATCTACAACAACCTGGGAATAGATGAAGGAGCCTGGATGAAAAGACTAGCTGGTAAACATGACAAAATAACAAAAAAAACTATTTCTATGTTTGTATGGGGAGTGGAATATAAGGTGTCAAACATCTCACTAGCTCCTACTTAAGCGTCCATGACCTGATTAAACCTTTGACTAACAATGGCCATGTATGCATTATACATGTGATGTGGGTGCCGCGCTGGTAGTTTTCGTTTCATATAGATGTAGTGTTCACATAAATTAACAGGGCACATTTGTAACTATGCATGCATATGGGAATGCATTGTCCCCCAATCAGAAGGTTGTTGGTTCGATCCCCGGCTCCTCCTGCCACGTGTCGAAGTACCCTT